TGAAGTTCGTTACATACTATAAGTTTCATATTCTCTATTGAAGAGTTAAATTTACCGCAGATGTTTTCTAAGTTTGTCATATTCGGGTTCGAATAGCCCTCTAACAGTTTGCATAAGATATCTGTAAAGAAAGTGTTCTTACCAGTTCCTTGTTTTCCAATTATAATGAGAGCAGTTTCATTTTTAGCACTTGGATGTTGTAAGATGTTTGCAAACCAACATAAGATATACTCATAGACTCTTTCGTTTCCATTGCATATAATTTCTTTGACATGGTCTAACCAAGCTTCTATAACATTTTCTTTCCATTCTACTTGTTCGTATTTATATCCAGTGAAGATAGAATAGAAGTTTGGAGATGGTGTATAGAACTTTATACCACGAACTGAAAAATCTTCTAACTTTGACAATAAGATATCCCAAGCATCTAACATCTTCATGCCAACTTGTACGACTTTTATTTTCTTAAGTTTCTGTCTACATTCTTGTTCTGAAACTATGGTTGCTCTTGGTTTGTTAAAGACAACATCCCATTCTTTCATAACATAACATTCTGGGGCAGAGTCAACATAAATGACTAAACGTTTCAAATTCTCGACTGCTTTGTTATAGTCTCTAAATGGACACATATTTCTGAACGCTTGGAAGTCATAAAAATCTGAAACGTCTATTCTGTACATTTTTATAAAAATAAAAAAAAATATTTTTTTTATTCTTGACTTTGTTGTTGCATTTGTTCCATTTGTTCATTTGTTGCATTTGTTGTTCTTGAGCTATTTGTTGTTGAAGTTGTTCTTGTAGTACAATACTTTCACCAGTTGCATCTTCCAATTCGAAACTTTCTGCCGTCATTGACAAATACATAGGACATAAAAGTTTTACAGGAACAAAGTTTGCGTCAACTAAGGTTAAGTTTATGTTTGCTAAAGTGTTTGAGTTTACTAAAGCTGAAAACTCTGCATTCGAATGAACAATAGGCAAACCAGCAGAGAAAGTGTTGTTTATACGCATGAGTATCTTTTGGTCATAGTAGTTTCTGTCGACATTCGAATAACACTTTGAACCTAAGTTTGAAACAATATATAAATAGGTGTACTTAAAGTCAATGGAACAGACATTCCTTGTATGACACCTTTTCCTGTTATAGGAAACTGTTGGTAGTAAAAACCAGATATAAGTTTTGTATTATAGCTCATATCGTTTATAGTAAACTCAGTCGGACATCCAAACATAATGAAACCTGCTCTAGTTGCAGCACATGTTACATCCGTCCTTAAAGTATTAAATAAGTCAACAAAACCTGTTGGTGGTATATCTGAGTAAGTATCTTCAAAGAAGTATTTTTTACCATTCACAACAACAAAGTCTTCTGGTGTCAAAAGAGCAAAACAGGCTTTAGTCGTCATCGTGTTTAAGGTCAGTTTACAATATCGTCCTTGAGGACTTTGTAAGTTTGTTGTTATAGAATTATATGACTCAGGGTTTTTAGTCGTAATAGTATAAACCACTATGTCTTCTGCCATTTACTTAGCAAGTAAATTTTAATGAAATGTTGTGGTCGTCAAATATTTTTATGACGTCTGGGAAACTATATTTTAAGTTCAACGTTTCACCTCCTTTCATAACGTATATCTTGTCAATGACATTATATGAAACACCACAGCAACTAACGTCGGGTTCTATTTCTTTGATGTTTATATCGTCTGCCTCTGTCAAAAGTTTCAATAGTTCTTTCAAAATTTCATGAGGTGCGATGACATATGAGTTCACTTTTACAGGGTTGTGCTCAACCAAGTTTAACATTATACCCAAAGCTTGACAAATCTTCTCCTGAGTTTTAAGTTTGTCTTTAAGTTGTTGGTAGTCGTTTCGAATATCTGCAACAGAACTTAAGTCTCTGCTAACTTCAGGTATGTTGGTTGTTCTTTTACAGGAACTATTGTTATACCATCTTCGTCCTCGTATGGTTTCCCCACTTCAACATCTCTTTCTTTGACATTGACAACAACACTTTGACTGTTTGTTTGAGTTGGTGAATTTAACTTCACATCTGCCACCGCCATTAAACCTTTTGAAACACTTACGCTTCTATTTTTCGGAAATGACATTTTACTTAGAATAAAAAGATGGACGTATTCGAGTATCTCTTCGAATTGAAGCAGAACAAAGTTTACACACACAAACAATACAAATACATTGACAGAATAGTTCTTTACACAAACAATGGAAAATGTTATAGAATAGCAGTCTTTGCTGAACCAAAATATTTTCATAAAGCAAAGAAAGTTGGTATAACTGAAATGGTGAAAGTTCTTGAAGCAGACAAAAAATATAACAACAAAACTGACCGATATTTCTAAAGGTAAGTTTATAATACAATTTTATGTCAAAACTGGCGTACTGTCAATATTTGACGGAGAGAAGTCAGTTCAAGAACAACTTACTGACCTGCTGCCAAAATCTGCTCGATGGAAGCTGTCGTTATGCCAATCTGAGGAGCCCCAGCAGGTTTCATCGAACGAATCTTCAAAAGAATCTTCCGTGAAAAGTGCTATTGGTTTTGTAAACTTCTTTGCTTTCAATTCATTTGGACCGTCTCTGTCACCAGTATATTGTATTTGAACTGTACAACAGTTGAAATACCACCCATAAAGTCTTCTGAGTCAGCAAATGGAATGCCAAGCCAAAAGTTTGAACGGTCTCCATTTGTATATTGAGTGTTTTGAGCTCCTGTATGGGTCCATACTTTCACATATGGCATAATAGAACTTTGCATTTCAGGGTTAATGGTTGTTGTGAAGTTGTTGTTAAAGTTCATAGCATCTAATGTCAAGTTGTATGACCTCATATCCTCAACTGTAGAATATTCTTCTCTTGGATAATATTTGCCATCTATGTTTATATGATATTTAATACCAGGGTTGTAGAAGCAAGAATAGTCATTTATAGTTCGTCTGAAAAAACAAACATAGTATCTGCATGTTTCATTGCAGTTGTTAAAGCAATATCTGTTCTTGCACCTGGGTCAGCACTTTGGTTTCCAACTTCACCTGCAAAGTCTTTGACAGATATTTGGTGTATAGGGAACATAAGTGGAACTGCAATATATTTGGCAGCTAAAGCATTTGAAATATCTGGGTCCAACATATAGACTGCAAGTCTGCTTTCTATTCTCTTGCATTCAAACTTTTCGCATGTGAACTTAACTGGGTCCCAAGCATCTCCAGCAGCATTGAAATAATAGTTTACTTCAGTGTTGAGGTTTGAGAAACCAAAGTCTAAGTCAACTTTGTTTTTGCAAAAGTCGGCGAATGACATTTTATTTGTTCCCACTACTTCTGTAAGAGTGAATGGGTCTTGTGTTGGTGCAATGACTAAGTTATTTTTGCTTGGAGTAAGTTCGATAGAAATTTTTCCTGCCCAGTTTGGCAAGTATCTTAAAAACCTGAAGATGAGGAAAGATGACAAAGGAACTCTAAGTTTCAATTTTACTTTGGTTACTGCTGCTGCAGTTTGTCCAGAAAGGTTAACATAAACTCCTGGAACGTTAGGGTCAAGTCTTCTTATTTTCTCAATAGTTGCATACTGGTCTGTTTGTTCTCTAGCTTGTGGTTGTACTGAGTTTCTCAAAGCGAACCATTCATAGTTTGCCCATGTTACTGTTTGAACTAAGTCAGAGTTAGAATATATCTTATATCCCATGAAAACTTCTGGAGCATATTGGTATCCGACATAGAAAATTCCATTGCAACCTTTCTTGTCAGACAACTTGGCAGAAGGTTTTATTTCAATGTCTTGTTCCACGTATAAGAAAGAGTTGTCAATAGAAATTAATATGAAACCTGTCGCAAGCAATATCTACTGTTGTTGAAGAACCTTCTCCAAACTCACCTACGTTTCCATAAGAAACAGCAGTTGTATATTCGTAAGTTCCAGGAACTATTTCTGACCTTCTAATGGCATTGTCGCATTCGTTATACCATTCGGAAACATTTCCATTCATGGCATCCAAAACTGTTGGCGTTATATTCTGAGCGGCGTACATTTCATATGAGTAAAAATATAGAATAGTTGGATTTATATGTCATAATAGAACCCACTCCGACCAAGCTTTACTTTCTTCCTGACTGAGTTTTTAACTCTTCTTTTTCCTTCATTGCCCTCTGCTTGAAGTTGTTGCATCTTTGCATTATGTTCATCTAGTATGTTGCAAATTTCCCATGTCCTTTTTGCCTTTTGGCTCTGGTCGCCCATCTCAGGTAACCTATATCCTAGAAAGAGTTTGTCATAGTCTGTATTTGAGTCTTCGCGTATTGTTTGCATGACTCTTTCCTGAGTTTCTGGTTCAAGCTCTTCAAACAGTGCCTGTCCATATGGAATAAGCTCGTTTCCAAATATATGTTTTTGTAGCCATTCTGGTTTTCTTTCCATGTTACCAACTATATCTTTTGTGAATGGGAAAGCTTTTACCCAATCTTTCAGTCTTGCGTCGTTTATTTCTGTAGTTGGTTTTATTTTGTCAAGGAACATGTTTTTCAATACTAACATTTCATTTGGTACTGTCCATTTGAGTTTTCTTAAATATTCATCCCTTCTCGATTCATCGTCTGCAAAGTAAGTTTTTATGACATTTTGTAAACTTTCGTTTGCAAGGTCATGTACAATAGGTTCTCTTCCTTCTCTCTCCTAACTTTCTTTCTAAACTCTTCACCAAATATACCATCTCTATGGTTCTGTGTAGTTCTTTGAGATAAATGTTCTAGAACGTCAGGTGTTATATTTCCATCAGCCATGTTCATTTCATACTGGTCCAAAATATCTGCATGTTTCATATCTTTCAATGGCATTAAAGCCGCGCTTAAAATACCAGCTATATCTTGTTCACCATTGACTTCCATTGCGTCTACAACTTCTTGGAATTGTGGTTGTAAGTTTATGAACCACCTATCCGGGTTAGCTTTATGACCCCATCTCATTGTAGTTCCATCGTCTGCAGAAACAAAAGTAGGTTTGTTTCCATCTTGGTTAGGTTCTGAATGAACTTTAAACAATGTTTCATTTCTATATGTTTTCTTGAAATTTAACCTTTTATTTTCACCGAGTTCATCCGAAGATTGAACGTTAAATGCTCGTAAGTAAAAAGGGTTGTTGTATTTGTGTACATTTTCTTTCAGTACTTTCATTCTATGCTGAATATTTTCATCTGGTGTTGGAGTCTTTTGTATGTCGGCAAACATTTTTCGATATTCTTCTACTATGTCAGCCGAATCTTTCTTAGACTCTTGGAAAGATTCCATATTCACCTCATACTCTTGTTGAGGGTCAAGATTTTTCGGCTGTTCCAAATCTTCATCTAGTTCTGTGAAGTTAGTTTCCAAAGGAGTGACTTGTTCGTTTCCTTCAGGCTCTTCTAGCTGTTGTTGCTGAACTATTTCTTCCATGTCTGGTTGTATCTGAACTTCTTCCTGTGGAGTTTCTTGTACCTCATCTGCTGGCATTTCATATATTCCGAGACCGTTTTCAACAATTTCCCTATCTACGTCATCCGCATTCATAAGCTTTTGTTCTTTCGTTCCGTCTCTATTTTTTACGCGTTTCATGACGAAAGTTGAATTGTCATTTAGCTCTGACATCAAATATCTCGGAGTAAATTCATCCATGTCATTTGGATGATATGCTATTAAATCATATCCCTTAGCGAGCTTGTATTTTCCAGGTTTGAGATTATATCCGTTTTGGTGCTGAGCCATAAAGCTAAATAGGTTCGGGTCAGTATTTCCATCCTTGAACTTTCCAATAGCTTCTTTATATCTGTCACTAAAGTCAACAGTATCTGGGAAACCACACTCTTCTTTAAGCATTTTTAAGAATTCTTGGTTTCCTTGTTCTCTACTTCTTTTATGTCCTTGCTCTGTTTGTGGTTGTTGTTGTGCAGGGTTTTGAACTGTTGGTTGTTGTGTTGGTTGCTGTGCAGTGTTTTGAACTGTTGGTTGTGGTGCTGGTTGTGGAGGTGGTTGTTGTGTTGGTTTTGGTGCATGCCTGTGTCTGTGTCCATGTGACGATGTAAATGTTTTAGGTAGTCCTGGTGCAGGTGCTTCTCTTGGAGGGTTTGGTGGTATATAAGTTCCACCAGCTGGCACATATGTTCCATCTGCAGCGTAATGTCCTACCTGACTTTTCGTTCTTAAGAAAGCATTTACTAGGTCTGTTTTGGTCTGTTGTAACTCTTTTTCTTGACTTTCCACAACAGTTGCTCTAACGGCGTCATAGGCACTTTGAACTGCCTGTCTCGTTGCTGCATCTGTTATTTTCGTCATATTTTGTGCTACTTCTCTTAACTCTTTGTCGAAACCTTCAGACTTCAGTTTCTTTCCAGATGAGAAGTCGTTCACTTGTTTCACCTTACTATGAAGAGCTTCGAAGGCGTTCTTAAAGTCAGCATTTGTTAAAGCTTCATTTGAACTATCTTCATCCGCTTGTATTTTTGTCCTTATTGACCCTATGAGTTGGGCTGCTTTAGCGTTGGCTTGGGCATCTAACCAGTCATTGTTGGCTTTTATATATTCTGCGCTTTTCATTGCCTTTTGCATAGCCGCGTCGTTATTTTTACTTTCTTGTGCTAAGTTTTCATACTGTACGGTTTGGTTTTGCAACTGTAAAAGTTTTTCTGCCTTTACATTTGCTTCAACTTCTTTTTTATACTCATCGCTATCCATATATGTCTTCAGGGCTTTTTGTTTTATCTCTTCATCTTTCAGTATTTTATATTGAGTAGTATGGTTTTTCAAATTTATGACATCTTGTTCCATTTTTGCTACTTCTGCTGCTTTTTCTGACACTTTTTTCGCATATTCCTCTGTACTTAGTTCTTTCAGTTGTTCTTCTTTCTTCTTTTTCTCTACGTTTAACTCATTTAGTTTCTTTGTGTGTCTGTCATATTCTAGTTTCTTTTCGTTTTCACTTATTTGCTTCTGTATGTCTATGTTTGACTTTTTGACATCTGTTATTTGATTTTTGAGTGAACTCAAATTCATTTGACTTTGAGGGTTATAAGCTGTTCCGTCTGCAGCTCCACCATAGCCTGCCATTTTCGCTAAAAGTGCCGCTCTTAAACCTCCACTCTGTGCACCAACAACTCGGTTTAAAAGCATAGGATTGCTTGACATTTGTTGCAACATAGTGGGGTCATTCAGCATTTGTTGTTGCAACTGTTGTTGTGGTGTCAGTCTTACTATTGGATGTTTCAATGCTCTCTTCCTCTTACGTATATTCTTACGTAGCTTACGTGGCATTTTAAGTGAAGTTAAAAAGCGGTTTTTGACAGATGTTTATATGACACTTTTTGTTCAGCACAAAAAACTACTCGGTCAAAGTGTTGTCAGTTTTGTAAAATAACCGTCCTATCTCATTCTATAAGGGGGAAAGTCTTCTCAAAGTATACTTCCTTGGAACGCCTGTAACTTTTCCTGTAGCGACGATAGACCCTTACTTGTCCAGACAAAGCTGTACTATTTTGAGTGCTCTACAAAAAAGTCAACGGCGACGACTCTCAAAAACCGTTGTGTAAAAAGTTTTACCGTTGGACAAAAAAGTATATATAGAAAACAAAAAACGTTTATAGTTCATTCAATATTTGAGATGGAACGGTTTGCCAACGGTAACTATTAAATAAAATAAAAAAATAGAGGGGGTTACCGTTGACGAAAACGGTTTATTTTAAACTTTTCTATGAGTAGTCCGAAAAAAACAGTTTATTTTTGTCTAATGGAAGCCAACATTAACAATTCTCAACCGCTAACCAAAGCCAAAGCCCCACAACCTCCAAGAACTGGCACAGCTGTTAGAATAACCGCCAAAAAGTCTAACAGCGAATTAAGAGAAATTCTTCAACAAATTTGCTCTAAATATCTCAAAGACGCCGAAGAAAACACACAACCAGACGCTATATACAATACTCAGTTCTGTGAAGTTCTGAACAAAGCAATTGCTAGTTCAATTGAACTTACTAAGACAATTCCAAGTCCAATTGAGCTTAGCGATGTCTTAGTTCAGTATTTCCAACATTTACTAAGCTCATAATGTTGAGAACTTTATACCAAGTTCGTCAAAATCTTCCTCGTAACATCCAACGGTCATTCGACAAGACAATTGCCGAATTCCAAGTCTTTAGTTACGGATATGACCAAGATGAATACATTGACGAGTTCGGAGACAACTGTACAAAATGGTTTGACTGCTATACGACTACACAATTTGAATTCGACTTTCTCGAATTCAACGCAGCAACCATTTATATCATTGCTCTTTACCTTTCCGAACAACAACAAGACCTCGCAGATGGAGATGTTGTTACTGTCGTCATGGAAACTCCTGAACAATTCGGAAAAAAGAAGTCTCTAATTGCCAAATTTGTTCCAGGACATCAGCTTTTCCAACGCACAGAAGTCTTCTGTATTCCTGGAACTAAGTTCTTTGTCAGGAGCGAACTCAAAGAAAGATATAATGTGTCATTCAATTACACATTATATAATGTCTTCGACCCAGAAGAAGACTTCTTCCCAGAAGCAATGGAAGAGGAAGAAGAAGAGAAACACGAAGAAGAGAAACACGAAGAGTCCTCCGAATTCACACCAGAAGACTAACAATTTTCCGAATAAAAACCTCATTTTATACTAAACATCTTCGGGGCTAGAAGGGGCGCAGCCCCTGGAAGCCCCACTACCTTTTTTTTTTTTTTTTTTTTTTTTTTTTTTGTATATCATAGTTTTTTTTTGGTTTCGCAAAACATCCAAAAACAAATATGCTATAAAAGTGACAATTTTAGCAAAACGAAACCCTTAATTGTTTCAAATGTTTTGATAAGAATACAATTTCTATTGAATTCGATAATTATCTCAAAAAATGAAAAGCATCTCTGGGATTATAGAAATACCAGACGATGGCTGTCTTGAAAGGCGGATTTCTGATTTAAATCACATGTATTGGAGACTTGGACCTGCGGACTTGGTAATTTCTAAGAAATCGATTTCAAATTCTAAAATTAAAACCTATTCATACTTTTCTGGACTTTCATTTAATAAAATAAGTGATCTAAACATACTATACGATCAGATAAGCGCAAATTTTTCTCGCAATCACATAGGTAAAATGAAAATAGAATTCGAAGAAATCGTTGTTTGCTGCTGGAATGTATTCAGCAAATACGATTGTCGATTTCATATTACAAAAGATAAGAAAATTACAATCAACACATATGATTGCAATAACAACCAAATATTCGTTAAAAATATCTCGTTTAAAGAGGCAACATTATCATCAGCACTTAGATTTTGGATTCCATATGAGCAATTATTCAGATCATTATATAATTTACAATCATATAAGGTCGATGAAAAATCAATGCCAGCTTACTTTTCTTATAATGATCTTGCAAGAATTGCATCGGAATTGCAGCCATCTGAAGATTTAGAATATGCATTGGCAATATATTGCCTTACTAATTTGAAAGGAAACGAATTTTATTCAATAATTGATTCATTTTTAAAGCCGTTTCCAAGAATTGTTGCACGGATTTTGCATTTTATACCATATTCATCTAATCTTGCGAATAATTTATATCATTATCTTATTAATTCTCAGCAATTATCTCCAGATGACATTTATATTGCAAAATGTATACTTGAAATGAGTAGTTCTAGAAATGATAAAGCAACAATACAAAAAATAACACCTTTACTTCAAAATTCAGTATGGTCTTCCCCTTCATCTTGTATGTGTTTTGCAAAATATCTGATAAACAACAAAAAATTTGAAGATGCAAAGACAATTGCAAATGGAGCATTCTTTAGTTTAGAATACAAAGAGCCAGAAAGGAGAAGTTGTGTTCAAAAAAATGTTTGCTATCAAAATGGATTCTTTTTGAAACCATCTCCAAGCAAAATTGAGATAGAAATCATTGAAAGTCAAGCCGATGAAGAATCAGACTTTATTTACAAAATTGTTTCGGAATTAAAAGAAAATTATGAAATTTCGAAACTTAAAGATGTTTATAACTATCCATTAATGAAGCCAAAGAATGGAGAAGTTATATACCTATATTTTAAAGGGAATACAAATAGAAATAACTCAGAAAGTTCATTTGACATAGATGATCTCGAGGATTTATATGATCCTGGAGTTTCTGCACAATTGACTGTCCCACAATCATTCTATAATCTTCCTTTCTCTCCATTTTTCGATGATGTTCTCAAAACAATCGAGACTGAATCACTTGCCTTGGAGAGATTGATTAGAAATGGATCAGTTAAGACAAAAGATGGAGCAAGATATGCATTGGTGCTCGGATTAAAGACAGGAAATAAAAAGGCTTTCAAAATCGGAATGAATTATTTCAGAAACAAAAACAGAATTAGACCGATACACTTTTTATTAGAAATGGCAATCTATGCAAAGAATGGAGGTGAATTGCCAGTTTATCACGAATTCAATAAAAGGATGACTCTTGGAGAGCGTAACTCGCTTGCAGTCATTTATCCATTAGCTATGAATCTCTATAGCCTTATATAATATTATTTCATCATGTAATAAATGTTTTTTATATATGCTTTCAAATGTCGATTAACATTTTTGTTTTTAATCAGATCTTAATTAGCATAGACATTTGCAAATTCCTATAGGTAGTTTTAGATATGGATAAGTACTCAAATTAATCAAAATCAACGCTTTTGATTTCAAAAAAGCTGTGTATGATTTATTTATACGAAGAAAAGAGATATCAATTGGTAAGCAGACAGCTAACCATATGTTGTTGTGATTCTAAATGGAATCATAAAAGAAATTGAAAATAGTAGTATATGATGCGGGTTGTGTGACTTTTTTTGTAATCGTAAGAATTCTCACATAATTGAATGATTTTTGAACATACTTCCGAATAGCAGATTTTAAAAATTTATGAATAATTTATAAAAAGTTTTTATTCCTACAATTCCTATATTACCATTAATAAAAAGAATATATTTTTGACGAAGTGAAGATTCGCACTTCGTCACAAAACTCCGAAAAAATAAAGTTAGATTTTTTTATTTAATATAAAATATATGGAAAAAGAATAATATCTGATTTTGAACATTATTTGATTGATTTACTAATTGATCCACAAAGCTGTTGTAAAATTAATTTTGAATTTAAAATTAAAGGAACCGTAAATTTTGTATTTATTTATCACTTAAAAGAATATGACCGATATCATAATTTGATATATGAAACTAATATAATATTTGAAGATAACAAACTTACAAGCTTCGAACATGAAAATGATATAATATTCGAAGATGAAAAAAAGAAAGAGATTGAAAAGCAATTCAATGAATGCCTTTTAAATACATATGCGCACATTATAAGACATAAAATGAAATTAATTCCTTATTAATCAAAAATATTTTTTATCTTTATATAAAGATGACAAATAGAAAATTTTTCATTTTTGATATCTATTATTGCCCAAACGTGTATGGACTACATGTAGAACTTAAAATAAAGGAAAGGGATACATATGAAGAATATATAAAATTTTGTAGAAAAAACGATTATATACCGGAGTCAAAGAATATATTCTTGCAAAATATAAAACCTATTATAAAGGTCGGAAAGATTAAATTTCCGTGCATAGTAGAAATATACTTAGATGATGTATGTGACGAATTTCACAGACTAAATGAAAAAAAAGACTTTATATAAAGATTTTGTTAAATTTCTTATTGAAAATTATTTGAAGCCTGAACATGTGATTCCAAAATATCACCGATGATATTTTAAAAAATAAAATAAATTATATTTTTTAAATAAAAAAATAATTTTTATCTGATAGAAATAATACCTACAAATGACGGTATATAAAAAATTGACTTCTTACGTAAAATTAAAACTAAGTTAAATTTATTTTTTTTATTTTTTATTTTATAATAAATGAGTATAACAACTAATTCATTGAAATCTTTAAAGTTCACTAATTCAGAATTAGAAAATATTTTAGAAAATTTTGGAGACGGTTCTTATCCAACATATATGCAGAATGTGAAAGAGTTTTCCAGATTGTTGAATGAATTTAAATATAACGGACCAATTACTAAAAAGGCTATAATGAGATATTTATATCCCAAAAAAGTTGAAAAACAGGAGAATATTCCTCTTTATGGTCCAGAGGACCTGGGCTCAGAGAGCCTTGAAACACCTCCTGAATATTTTGAAGAAAAAATTAAACAAGATGAATATTATAACGATGAGATTGAGAAATTGGAACAATTAAGAAATGAAATAGATGAAAGAATTAGTGAATTGAGAAATGCTGAGAATGAAGTAGAGGGTTTAATGAATATCCCAGCTTCAGAATCAGAAGTTCAAAAATCACATGAGGAAAGATATAAAAATTACTTTTTGGAATCTACTAAAAATTTATTAGATGGTGATATTGACGAAACACTTTCAGAAGAAGGCACAAAATTTATTCATAAACATAAGCTTCAGTTTATTGACGATGGAGATTATCCATGTATATTACTTTCACCTCCTCTTGATTCTGAAAAATTCAAAAAAGCACTGAAAAATGTAACATATGCAACAAATACGATTAAGAAAGAAGACCATGATATTTACACAAATTATTATTTAAATAAATGTACAGGTGTTGATAAAGTTTTTGATTTGTTAGATAAAATATCAAAAGAAACAATTGGTACATATAAAATTTTATGCGATTGTGGTTTCATTATTGAAGATACCAATAATGTTTCATATGAAAGAACAGCACCGAAGGAAGACGAAGTTGAAAGGTCTATACCATTCGTTATTAAGAACATAAAAGATATGAAAACTTATAAACATTATATTTATTCATTTATTTCAGAAAAAATGGAAGCAACCCATAAAACATCATCTCATCATTTTATAGCTATTCATACATTCCTTTTCAAAGTTGTGAAATTAAATAAGACAGGAATTAGATTTAATGTATCAGGGTACGCATTCTTGAGTAAATTAAAATGTATTCGTCACGTCGCAGATGATAAAAATTTATGTGTTCTTAATTCATTTTATGGACTTTAGCCCTGGACTCTCTGAGTCTCGGACTTTAAAAAAAATAAACTTTATTTTTATTTATTTTTTAATTTTTATTCTTACATAAATGAACAAAAATGGAACAGCTAAAATGAATGATAATCAAATAAGAGCCGAAGGTAGAAGGTTATTTAAACGCTTCTATAACATTCCTGATGGTGTTAATCCTAAAACTCGTAGAAGTTATTTAAATGAAGCCATAGATGCATATGAAGGATTTGACATTTCATCAGAAAGTGAGAGGTTAGCAAGAATGTTAAACGTTAATATTGATTTTTATTATTGTGACCCTCAACCAGAAGACGTAGACATTAACAAGGTAGACTTTCCATTAGTGGAATCAATAATGATAGATCCAGAATTTGAAACAGTAAATATTTTATTAACACAGAGTCCATGTGGAAAACTTCACGCTGACAGAATTACAGACGTTGAAGCACTCACAGGATATAAAGTTTGCCCCTTTTGCAAAGAAGAAGTATATTCTATCCGTGATGATCCAGAAAGGAAAAACCAAAGAAGATTTTTAAAACATTGTGAGAAATGTAAAGAAAATAATGGAAGATTAATTCAAGACGTTCAATTGCAAAACACACAACAACCATATGCACCACATATCACGAAACAGAAGATATATCAATGGCTATTAGCACATAATTTGCAGGAATATTATAAACCAACAAGATATTATATTACTTTTGACTTCGAAACATTAGAGACTAAAGAAGAACTTCAACTTTCTGAATGTGCAACTTTGAACGCTTACTTAAAACCATTTATGGTATCATCAACTGTCAAAATAAAGCCGCAAAGCGGCGAGGTCGTAGACCGTGATAAAACATTTACGAGGAATTTTTGCTTAACATCAAGTGATTCGTTCATCTCTGATTGGATTGAATTTTTATTTTCAACCTGTTCATTAGTTGCTAAATCAAATATTGAACAATATGAAGAATTAATGAATACATTAAATGAGAAACAAAAGGAAGCAATGAAAGAGCTTTTAGATGAAGAATTTAATAAAGTGAATATCATTGGTTTTAATTCGGGAAAGTTTGATTTAAATTTAATTCTTCGTGATTTAAATACTGCAAAATGGAAGATAAAATCAATGCTGGGTTCTTCTTCTCAATTTAAGCAAGTCATAGTAAAGAAAACAAACTGTCCATATGAATTAAGATTTATTGACATCAGAAATTATATAGCGGGTGGAACATTAGACCAATTCACTCAAGATTTCGGAAACAATAAATCACGTGTTAAATCCTTTTTCCCTTATCAATTCATCACATGGGAGAATTACGAAGATGAATTATATAAAAAGGAACCATTCACTCAAGAATTGATTGATATAAGAAAGGATTAAAACATGTCATTCAAGATTCATTTTATTCAAATATATCTCAATGATGCTAAAAATTTTGAGAATAGATTAGAATATTTTATTCATTATTGCAATAAAGACGTTGAAATTATGATTGACCCAATTGATAAAATATAGAAACATTTGTTTATAAAATTGACATGCTTCATAATCTTTCTTTATCATCGAATGCATCAATGATTCGTTACGCGTTAGCATATAAGAACTTCAATCCTAACGAAACATATCCAGAAGAAGAAAATGTGGAATCAAGTTTTGAATTAACAAAAAAGTATTGGAAATATAAAATTGAATCATATAAGAAACAAGATGAAAAAAGCAGAAAGGGATACTAAAAATAATGTTTCAATGGATGATTTTCAATACTATCACGATTTAATCCTTTCATCTAAATGCAAAATGTGTGGTAAAGCGTTTACATATGTAATAAACCAACATTGGATAGAATCGATAATGAAAAACCACATACCAAAGAAAATTGTCAGTTAATGTGTTGTTATTGCAATGTCGTAAAATCAAATAAAGATGAAGATGTTCAACGTTTAAGAATCAATTTAAGAAATTATGCATTAAAAAATAATTTACCAATGACTTTAGATTCAGTTGAAGCTTATCACATTCTCCGTAATGGAATTACTGGTGGTCTATCAAATGTTCAACATCGTGTTAATCTTAAAGGAATCACGCACATTAATAAACTTTCATATAATCCAGAAACTAAAACTGTATCAAATGAGGACACCACCAACATTATGACTCATTTCGTTGGAGTTGACTTTAATTCATTATATCCTTCATCATTTTCATCTAATCCTCATGATTTCATTCAATATACTGACCATAAAATGTATATGCCGGGAAGATTGAATGGTGTTATCATTTGTGATACAGCAACAAAGAAAGCAAAAGCACTGGGAATAATTAAGAAGAAAAATACTTTATTCGTGGCTGAAGTAAAGGGTCACATTGATGAAAAATACATTAATGATTACATAAACTTTTTACCGATAATAAGAAACTTAGATATTATCACAGATGAAAAAACAATTGGCAGTTTTATGTATAATTACATGAAATCAAACAATCTACCAGTTGACCAGAAACAGAGAAAATTAACTCAGTTAGCATCAACACACAACCAATATCAACCATTTTCTTCTTATTATCTATGGTATCTAATAGACAGATTTCATTTTATCATTGATGACATTCAATCAATTTTAACATTTACTAAAAACACTTGTTTTAATGAATTTGCGAACGAATTTATGAACGAAAGACAAAAGGCTGAATTAGAAGGAAATAAAGGAAAAAGTTTATTTTGCAAGATTTCACTTAATGGATCATATGGTTACGATGCAATGAATACACAAAATTACACAAAGACTAAAATAATGAATGCACAGAAGGCACGCGTTGCATGTATGTCAAATAAGTTTAAAAACATAAGAGAAATAGGTGAGGATACATATCAAGTGATGCTTAAAGATAGATTTTATAGATGTGATACATGTTTACAAGAGGCATTCTTCACTTTAGATAATGCTAAATACTGGTATTTGGTTTTCATTTATGATTTTATGTATAAATGCATGGATGTTAATCGTTTTCATTTCATTGAAGGTGATACTGATTCATCTTATTGGGCAATCGCTGGCGACCCAAATCTTCCTAACACTCAAGCATTTCAAGCAATTGTTACTGATAAACAATTTTATGATAAAAACATTTTCAAATTCGCACCATTTGATTTCTTCTGTTTTGATGAGAAATTTAAACCTAAATTAAAGAATAAAGCTGAAGAAAAAGCACATGAGAAGAAGTTATTGGGTTTAGCAATTGAGAAACAAGGTGATAACATGGTTGCTTTATGTCCTAAGTGTTATACATCATTCAACGGTTCAATTGATGGAAGTGATTTTAAAAAGATTGCACAAAAAATGAAAGGTGTTAGTTTACGACAAAATAAACAATTAACACCTAAAAATTATTTGGATATAATAAATGATAAATTATTTTGATGGTCAGAATATTAATTTACAACTTAAAAATGGGTCAATGACTCGCTTAACAATTGGTAAGACTGCATTAACAGGAGCACACACTAAGGCTGTATGTTGTGAAAATGGATGTTGTATGCCATTTATTTAAAATTTATTTTATTTTTAATAAATGCCACAGAAGAGACAAAAGGAACCGTTAATGATGGTTTTGATACTATGATTCAAAGAGGTGGGCACCCTTAAAACATTGATTTTATTTTTATATAAATGGATAACGTACATTTAAAAATTTTAATTGATGATTTAGTACTTAATCAAAATTTTCTTGATTATTATGATTAAAATCATATCTCCAAAAATATAATAAATATAACGGGTGATGATATGGAATATTATTATCCATATTATAAAAATGAAATTTTGAAATATCATATAAAATAATTTCTGAAATTAAAGACAAAATTAAAAATAATGAATATTCAAAGGGAAAAACTAAATCACAACTTAAACAGTTGAAAGATTTCAAAAATAAAGTATTAACAGAAGAAGATATTGATGAATTATATAAATTATATAATCCTGAGCCGCAAAAGCCAAAGGAACAAAACGCCCAGGTTCTTCAGACCATAAATGAAGCACAAGCTTTAATTTATGATTCATTAGTTAAACCATATTCAGCCCGACTTTTAAATGAAGATCAACTTTTGGAATTCATCCTTCAACATAAACTCGAAGCAGGAAAGTATATCAAACCTTTATATACAGCATATTTAAAACAAATGAATAGAATACATCCAGAATTAATGAAGGAAGGAATGAAATCCAAAATCAAAGCAGATAAAATTAAACCACTTGCAATACCAAAATCTCCAACGACAGTACCGCCTCCTCCTCCTTCAGTTAATCCTTCATCATTCACTTTATTATATCCATTTCAAACATTAAAGAAGCAAAAAGATTTTAAAAAGGGTTTCAAGATATTAAATAAACCAATTGACCCGAAAATTCAACCGTTAAAGGAAAAATTTAGTCGCCCTTCATTTGCACCATATCCATATTCATACGAAATCGATCATCTGGAATATTCAAAAGGAAACGTTACTTATTTATTTGCCATTAACATTAACACTAGATATTTATATTGCATTCCAGTGAAAGGGAAAACAGAACAGGAAACAAGAAGAGCTATTCAATACTTACTAGATCATGAAAGAGTAGATAATATCAGGGGTGATGGTGATAAAGGATTTCAGGCAGCTATGACTCATTATTTCCCACAAATTAATTTTTTCTTTTCATCCTCTCCATATACGTTTCATAATAAAATAGTTGATGCGGTAATGAGAACTCTTAGAGATGCGTTAGGGGTTAACGGTCAGATATACTGGGATGGAAATCATGACTCCATCATACAGCAGTTAGTATATTATTACAATAATACATGGCATAGAACTATAAACATGAAACCAGTGAAAATGAAAAATGATATTTCAAAAGAATGGGAATATATTAGAAAGCAAATGGAAAGGTTGAATGATGTTAAACGTGAACAAATTAATTCGGGGCTCATGAATTTTAAACAAGGGGATAAAGTTTTGATTCATCTCGATTATGGAAAAACTGATAAATCAATGACAAAAAGAAGACGAAGATTTGACACAATAGCTGAATTTGTTAGATATATTAACGGTAATGTATTAGTTGAAGTTGACAATAAATTAATAGAAATTCCGATTTATTTTATTACTCCATTATATTTAAATAATATTTAATTTTTTTTATTTCGTAAGAAATGAGTGACAACAAAGCAGCCAAGAGTCCAGACAATGAATATAAAAAGAAACTAAACAGAATTAAATCAAAAATATGCTATTACAAAAAGAAGCCGCAATGCGGTGGGGTTGAAAACGATAAAGAGAGGAAAGAAATAATCGAAAAATTAGAAACTTACCGTTCAATCCTTAAACTGAGTGAAGCAAAAATAAAAGAATTTAATAGAATAAATAAATTGATTGGAAGAGATGAATTTAATAAAGATGAATTTTTAAACTCAATCCAAATTTAATTTTTATTTTTCTTTGACAACATCTCTCTTTCCATCATTACTGCATAACCACATTTTCTCAGTTTTAGTGGTTTGTTATTTTTAGCAAGTTCTCGCATCATTTTTATCGTTTCCTCCCTTGTTATGATTCGTGGTAAATTTTGAGCTTGTGGGGTATCCATTTATGATAAAAATAAAAATTTAAATTATGCCGTTCTAAAGTTTGTGACAACATGACATTTTGACAACAGTCCCGGAAATGATTTGTCATGACTTCATCGTAATGAGTGTAAATGACCCAAAAATAACGTAAACATTAACGATAAAATATATTTCTGCAGTTCATCCATTACTTCATTACCTTATTAATTACAGACATAAAATATATTTAGTTCATTCGGTAAGCCTAAACCCTTTGGGTCAAGTGTGTTTATTGAACTCGGTACCATGCAAATACAGTCATAAATGGAGGCATATAATCTTCACCCGAGCCTGTTGGATTTGTTGTGAAAGTGTGTGAATGATTTCCTGTGGTTCCACAGAAAATACCTGCGCTTGAATCTACTGGGTCGCTTGAAATATCATATCTATCCATTCCTGTCTATCCGAACCTGCTGCAAGATTTCTATAACTCTTTTTGTTATTGAATGTGAATGATTACCTGTTTGTGTTTGTAGTTCCTGTATGAGTGTGCGGTGGAAGGTTTGCTTCTTTAATTTTCTTCGAACCTCCTGTTTGCTTTGAATATCTAGACAGTATAAGAATTTATCTACAATCTGCTTCCACGTACCGAACCCAGAACTGTTGCCGGATTTGTTGAGTTCATTGACGTATAAATAGAACCAATGGGGTAAATCATCTCAAGAATTGTATTTAATCCATTATGAATATTGAATTTATTAATATTGAATATTGGTGAGTATTTAAAACTGGTCTTGTTATCAATATTAACGTATTATTTTTGAAAATTGCTTTTCTAACATCTTGAAATTTTTGTGATTTCAGACCAATTTTTCTTCCATCACTACCGATATTTACTAAATTCACCACATCCTAAAAGCAATGAAATACCCATCAATATAAAATAAATTTGTAAATCTATAATTTCGAGTAAATTTTGGAGTGAATGAATAAACCAATTCCCAATTGATAAATCCTGTGATAAATAAATATGTCTGTTATAAACTTACAGGATATGAATAGACCATTTCACCTGAAACGAGAACATAAACATTTGATCCATAACATAAAGCTTCAATGTCTCCATCAGCTTGAAAAATTTGTTCAAATTGACTTGTGGTATTGAAGATGATCTATAAATTTTATCATTTTGTAGGATAAAATACATGTTGTTTTAATGTAATACCACTTACTTGTATAATCAATTTCCAAATCTGATGACATCAATACTAAACATATAATAATTTAATCCCCATCCTCACTAATGAAAATTTGATTGACTTCATAAATTAGTACCCATTTATTATTAACGCATCTAATAGGATTATTTGAATATTTAAATTTAGCATCTTGATTTAAATTACATTTGAACCATTGGATACAATCGAATGAATAACAAGGGTAAAAATCATCTCCAACCGTTATCATTCCCATAAATTTACCGTTATTATATTCAACATATAAAATTATTGGATTAATGATTGGCTCTCGTGTATCAGGATTTAAAATAGATGGAGTAAATGATTCATAGTTTTTAAAATCATTTGTTTTAAAATAATAAAGCACTCCAGCTGTATAAAATAAATACATGGTCACTCCATCGAAACATATCCATTCAAAAGAATCTATATCAAAGGTTTTATCTGATGATTTCATAAAATTTAAAATGGTGGAGTAAAATAGACCTCTGATTGTTTTATTTCTTCATTAACAAATGATATATTAGCTTTCTTATTTAACTCACTATCCACATATTCCTTATCTTGCTTTCTTATTTAACTCATCGTTAACATATTCCGTATCCGCTTTAAGGTCTAAAACATCCTGAAACCCATCCTGTATCGGCTTTAGTTTTTAAAATCTTTGATGTCCATTCATGATACCATTCAACCCTTTCTTTAATTTCATTATCTTTTTCATCAACAAACCAAATTTGCCTTCTTCATTAACTCACTATCCACGTATTCCTTATCTACCTTCTTCATTATGTCATTTAGGAAACCTTCTATGAATTCCTCATTTAAATTAAATCTTCCAATCTTCAAAACTTTAGGAAATGCATTTAATGCGTAATATCTCTGTTCTTCTGGTGGAATTGATGTTATATCATCCGTTATTCCTTTAATTTTTGAATTCATAAATAAAATTTCTTTTATATTTGATATCACTGCACCACCTTTGCAAACGAATTCGAAACGGTCATTTTTCAATACTATCTCCAAATCTCCATATTTTCAACCTTTGCGTTTGTTCTGCCGTCTTTGAATTATATGCATATATGGCGTATGTAATGGTCTGAGGGACCTGGGTGCTTTGCGCCTTAAGTTGCTGTGGTTGCTGTTGTTTAATCATTTATTATGATTTAAAAATAAATATTTAATCCGTTATCTCATCGGCTATTTTCTCTATTTGAAATTGCCATAATATTTCATTCATGAATTCTAAATCACAATCAAATAGGTCAGTTATTCTAAATTTAATATTTGATAAATCTTTTGAATGAAGAATAAATGAATTCCCAGATAATTGAAACGGATATGATAAAGAAAATGTGTTTAAGTTGATGGATAAAATGTTTTGTATTGATGGGTAAGAGTTAGGGTCTAATGTTTGATGTGAAAATCTCATTGGGGTATTAACTTTATCACATTTGATTAAAATGAAATTGGAACCAGTGTCAGAATACAAAACATCCCCAACATCTTTTTCAAAATTTAATATCCCCAACAATGAACGAAGATGAGGAGTACAAAATTTAATTTTCAGCGGAATTTAATAAGGTTAT